TTGTATGAACTCCGGATTTTGAAGGAAGTTCGTAATATTCGCGGCCGGAGGTGGTGTTGTTGTACGCCGCGGGGAATGATTAGTTGACTGGCTCTGGCCAGGGTGAGTAGCATGGTCTCGACCAGACTGTGACATAATGACTTTGAGCGTGAAAATGGCTTTAACAGTGACAATTAAATACAACACAGGGCGAAGTGCCCCGGCCGCCCTCCTTCTAGCGCCAAACTGTTGTCAAATGGAAATTAACAACAACCAAATTGGAGTGTATTTGAAGTAAAGCTAGGTGTTCAATGCTGAAAGCTTGTATATTATAACTGGAAATGTAATTTTTCTGTAAAGTATTATTCTTGTTCATCCCTGGGGAATTCTCCCTCTTTCTTTTATATTTTCGTACAATATTTATCTGTACAATAATCATTACACTTTGAAAGGTCAAAGGTGGTCCTTAGTTGCTTCTCTTGATAGCTTGCCACTTGGATAAATGTAATGATGAGTTATGCTGAGTTGTCGCCGCCTTACCATGCTGAGGTGGCATGTTATAGATATCGGTCCACCCAGTTATAACCGATATGTTGTGACTGACATGTATTAACCGACATGTGTTGACCGACATGTGTTGACCGACATGTGTTGACCGACATGTGATATCGGTCAACCTAGTAAAGATGTCGGTTCTTGCTGAATCTTTCATTGTGTAGTCATCTTGAAGCTGGTGGAAGTGTCGCTTGCTTGCATGAACCCTAATTACCATTATACTGATCTCAATCAGCGGATTAATGTCACTTAATTTGGCTTACTGAAAATGATATCAACAAAAGATTATCTTTTCATTATTATATTATATAATGCATTGGATTGTGTGCCAAATTTGGCTATAAAAGGCAATGGATGTATTGCAATTGATGTACGGATGAAGTGAAAGAAGGAAAGAAAGTTTAGTATAATTTATATCCGGTTTTCACATTGTATATATTCTCGCATTTCATAACAGAGATGACTATCTTCGGGCCGACAGAATAATAGGTCAGTTCAATATCTTCTTACTTGGTTCTTTCACTCGCAAAATACTCATAGATCGTAAACACTGAATCTAAAGTTGAGGTATGAACATTACACTGTGAATTTGCTGAAATCTACTATCGTTTTTAAGAGATTTATGGAAATTATTACACATTTACCTTGAGAGACAGTTAATTAGGGTTCGAGTGCCACGATTGATTCGTTATACTGATTTTCGAGCCTATAATAAATTTCCAATTTTTCTGTCCCTCCCCGCCATAAGCAACTTGGCACGGAAAAGCTGAATGTCCAAGCTCTGAGATTAAGTGTTATCGATAATAGATAATGATTTTGTAGATGAATTTTTATCGATAATGGATTATGATTTTGTGTTTTACTGATTCGATGTTGAAGTGTTATGTTTCACATTTTATAATATATTGTCACTTAATTAAAGACGTCCATTCTCCACGAGGTCTTGTTGGTTGAAAATGCCTAAAAGCTTTTGTAGTTTGGAGTAATCTTTCCATTAATTTGTTACAGTGCAGCTTTCAGAGATAGACCTGACCAAAGCAACAAAAATAATGGCATGGTCGTTGTCGAACATTCTTGGTAAAAGGATTGCTGCATTCCCAGCTGCTAATTTGACTGTAAGTTTATTTCTTCTTTGGGCTCGTTACATTGTAGGTTTGTGCAAGTGTCCATAACTTGTGAACTCTTTCCATCTGTTGGGGGAAGTAGATATTGCTTAACTTTATGCAGTTTCCTTAGCTTATGGAAACAATTGCCAAACTATATTCTGAAACAGATATACACACATAAATGTATGATTATTCGTGTTATTAGAAAAAGTTAATACAATGAGGAGTTGCGCTAGATCTGTCATTCGAAGCTATGTGTTATTTCTTATCCCATATCCGCTTACCGGATTTTTAGGGCTACCCTGTCCTCTGAGCCTAGTGCAACAACCAGAGCAATATAACAAACATAAGTTCAACTTTGGATCTTTAAAACTGATTGTAGATTAAAAAAAAAATGTGGAAATAAATTGTTGAAGTATCAGTTAATGGTGTAAGAATAAGAGCTACCGTGTTAGTGAAAAGATCAGATTCTTTTTTTGGCTACCTTCTATCGTCCGTTTCACTTTGAGCTGCCATCTCATGAGCTGTCATATTCGCTTTCCTTGTAGAGTCATCATTGGGACTTCTATAACCATCGATGAACTCATCGGATTAACCACCCAAAATTATCTTCCTTCATTATGTATTGAACAACTGCATAACAAATTCATTTGCTCAACGAATATTAATGGCCTTTCTTGTGATTACTGGCCTTTTAACATGGCCACATCCTGGTCATATGTAAATAGATACGTCTGCTACTTGTGATGAACAACTGGACATAAATGTATTGTACAATAAATCAATAAGTATATTCTAGTGTTTTTTATGGTAGAGAAACAAACAGCTACCAATGCATGGTCCGCTTATACGATATTATGTGCATAATTCTTTAATGTGTCTCTGTTATTCATTAAATGTCGGGTTATGTGCATAGGCATCTGGATCTTTCTACCGGGGCATACTTCGTTTCTCGACAACTGTGCCCGATGACCCCGATACTCATGAAGATTTCAGACCCTCCAATAAGGTTCAGGAATCTACCTCCTTGAATGAAATTGTTGAGAAGGTAAAATCGCTTGTCAGAAAAATTTCAGCAACACGTCGGTTTGATAAATTTTTGGCATAGCTCTGAAGTTTTATATTTAATCAGCCATGATTGCACTTTTTATCACGTTTTGCTCTAGTATATGCATTATATCAACCTGACGTGTGTGTGTGTCACTGAACTTCATTGTACTTGCAGGATGTGAAAGAAAACCCTGTGATGATATACATGAAAGGGGTGCCAGAACATCCTCAATGTGGTTTTAGTGCACTAGCAGTGAGGGTATTGCAAGAATATAGTTAGTGTTGCTGAACACTTCTCAATCATATTATGTTACTCGTTTCTTTTTAATCTTTTTACACAATATCGTGTTCACAAAATTATGGAGTTGCTGAGACTGTTTGGGACTAGAGATAATTTGACATGGCATAAGTAAAAGATACAGATTGATTTAATGTGTTTTTGGACTAGATCTAAATTTGAGCTGGTACTCGACATGGTTTCTTACATGATTTTAACAGTTCATTTGTTCTTACAGATGTTCCTGTAAGTGCAAGAAATATACTAACAAATGTTGAGCTAAAGAATGCTGTTAAATCCTACAGGTAAGTTATCAATTTAGCAAAATTTTCTTTTCTTTTTTTTTTTTTTTTTT